ATGGCAGTCTGCTCCTGTAAAGGTTTACAGCTTTGGAAAACCTCCAGAGCAGGTCTGTTCTGTCCTTGTAAAGTCTCTATTAATCAGCATCGATGCCATGGCAAAGAGTTTAACATAAAGCTACTTAATACTGGTGAACCATGTTAAAATCACTTTAAATGATCCCCTCCCCTTTCCACTTCTCTGTTCCCACAACTAGAAAACTTAAAAAAAAAAAAAAAAGAAAGAAAATATCTCTGAAGTCCAAGGTTATAGCTTATGTCCATGGAACCCTTCAACATTGTGTTCATGTGTGGGAAGCAATTTGTTGTTACTTTCTCCCATAATTTCCTTTCCTCTTCCCAGAGAGAGGTACGTAATTTATTGGATCTTAAGAAACAAACAGGGAAAAGCTACTGGTAGAGAACAGGGTAAATATACCAACGCCTAGGGACCCTACCCAGCTTGCCACTTGTTCCACTGTGGTTCTCAGTAAAAGCAGTTGTGAGATCTTGAACAAGTTACTTAAACACCCTGCATTTCAGTTGTAAATGGCTCAGTTATTAGAACCATAGCATTTCATGATGTGGGAAAACAACATGGAATTAAAACCTCAGTGTTTCACAGTAACATATGTGCACTCACCCTCTGAAGGCTGCTTTTGTGCTACAAGGGCAGGGCTGAGTAGTTGTGACTGAAAAAAAAGACTTGTCTCCTCTAAAATATTTACTTTCTGGACCTTAATTGAAAACGTTTGTGGGTTCTTGGTCTGGAAGATGAATGAAAAAGCTTTGTTGTCTATTCATCCTTTGCATATGTCCATTCCCATTTGCAAGTATTTATCGTCTGTCCTGGGTAAGACTTATTTGCCTTGAGATTTCATGTACTGACTTGACATTGGGTTCAATGAGATGAGTGCACCTCTGCTCCTGGCCACATAAAAAAAGACATTCCATGCTCAGACCCTGAGAAGTGGCAGCTTGTGATAAACTCCAAGTGAAAGGGGACAGTTGTGCAGGAGGACGGTGCTTTCAGAACCTCATCAATGAACATAGGGATGTTTGAGCTAAGATTCACTTTTGGTGGGAGTGCAAAATGGTGCAACCACTCTGCAAAGCAGTATGGTGCTTTCTCAAAAAGTTGGGAATAGAACTTCCATTTGACCCAACAATTCTACTACTAGGAATAAACCCTAAAGAAACCAGAACTTCCACCCAAACGGATACATTCACACCCATGTGTATTGTTGCATTTTTCACAATAGCAAAGAGATGGAAGCAATCCAAGTACCCATAAACAAATGATTGGACAGAGAAGTTGTGGTCTATTCACACAATGGAATACTGTGCAGCACTGAAAAATAAGGATATCATAAAATATTATACAAAATGGGTGACCATGGAGGACGTTATGCTGAATGAAATAGCTCAGTCACAAAAGGACAAATACTGCATAATGCAACTATTATAAAACGGGACTGACATGGGCATTGGAGGAAACTAAGAAGAGGGGATAGATAATGAACGCTGCATTTAAATAGATGAGGGAAAGAACTGTCTAAAAGAAATATATGATTAGGTATTATCTGCATGACGATAGTCCAGAATAAGAGGTGTACAGCAAAGTAGACTAGGGGGTGGGAGGGAGGGAGGAAATTGTGCTGCAATGAGAGAATCTTTTTAAAGAGAAAAGCAAACTGGTGGGGTAAGGAGGAAAATGTACAACAATGAATGAATGAATGAAAATCCAAGTTTTCTGTAAACTTTCATTAAAATATCAATTTTTAAAAAGAAAATTAAAAAAAAAAAAAACAAAACAAACAACCCAAAGGTTGAAGAGTGGTAGTTGTTTCAGACTTTGGATGGGGGGAGGGCAAAGATAAGGATGATGCTGGGAAACTTCATGGGGTTTTTGAAGTTTAGTATCTATTGAAACACATCAGTTATTTTTCGTTTCATTGTGGTAAAATGTATACAACAAAATGTTTTTAATAATTTAACCATCTAAGTGTGTAGCCTTCAGTATGGACTAAGGCTCAACGTCAAGAAGACAAAGATTCTCGCCACTGGACCAATTGGCAGCGTCAGGATGGATGACGAAGAGATTGAGAGTGTTCACAGCTTCAGTTTGCTCGGCTCCACAGTCAACACTCTTGGTACCAGCAGTCAGGAAATCAAAAAGCATATCGCGATGGGAAAGTCTGCTGTTAGGGACCTCTCAAAGGTACTCAGGAGCAACAGTGTCTCTCTGGAGACTAAGGTGCGCCTGATACAGGTCATGGTATTTGCAATCGCTTGTTATGCGTCAGAGAGTTGGACAATGACTAGGGAGGACAGAAGGAGAGTGGATGCTTTTGAGCTGTGGTGCTGGAGAAGGGTACTGAATGTACCCTGGACTGCCAGGAAAACAAACAGATTCATCTTGGAGAGGATTAAACCAAGCTACTCCTTGGAGGCAAGGATTCTGGGGCTTCATCTGACATACTTTGGACATGTTGCCAGGAGGGACGGGTCCTTGGAGAGGGGGATCATGCTTGGGAGGGTGGAGGTACAGCGCAGGAGGGGAAGACCCTCTATGAGATGGATTGATTCAGTGACTGGGGTAATCGGGATGGGTGTGTCAGAGGCAGTGCGGTTGGCGCAGGATAGAGCAGGGTTTAGGGCTGTTGTGCATAGGGTCGCTATGAGTCAGAAACGACTCGATGGCACATAACAACAACAACACAAGTGTGTAATTCAGTGGCATTCATAGCATTTACTGTGCTGTGCAACTGTCATTGTTCTTTGTTCCCGAATGCTTTTTATATCCTTTAATCTATAAAAGTCAGTGCAGGAAAGGAAGACCCCGAATGACATGGATTGACACCGTGACAGTGGCAATGGGGACAGGTGGGCAAGAGATGGTGAGACTGGCTCAGAATAGGGGAGAGTTCAGGGTTATTATTCATAGGGTTACTATGAATTGTCATCAACTCAATGACCAATAATCCATAAATCCCCTCCTCCAATCATCTTTTGTTTCTATGAATTTGCCTATTCTAGGTATTTTATGTAATTGGGACCATAAAGTATTTGTCCTTTTTTGTCTGACTTATGTCGCTCAGCATAATATGGGCAGTGTCCAGCCATGCTGTAGCACATGTGAGCACTTCATTATGCCTCTGTAATACTCAGCTGTATTTTTTTTCCAACTTTCATGGGCCATTTCTACTACTGGGCTCTTATGAATAACACTTTGGTGAATATAGTTATAATATACTTACATTCGTGCATTTCCTTTCTCGGGCTATAGACGTAGGAGTGGTATTACCAGATCATATAGTGATTCTATGTTTAGCTTCTTTTGGAGGAACCAATTTATACTCACTGCTATCAAGTAGGTTTTGACTCACAGCAACCCTATAGGATAGAATAAAGCTATCTTAAGGCTGTAAATATTTATGGAAGCAGACTGTGTCAACTTTCTCCCTTGGGACAGATGTTGGATTTGAACCACTAACTTTTGGATTAGCAGCCTGATGCTTAACATACTGTGCTAAATAGGGGAAAGGACTGCAATGGTCATGGATTCATATTTATAGAATGGCTTAGTGTCCCAAGACCTCCACTGATCTAACCTATTCAGTACTCTCAGCTATCAGAGAAGGTAGTGAAGTTGTCAGAGAGGATTACAGTAATTGTCCCGGAGCCTAATTCATCCCAAGTATTCAAGAATCTGTTTTATAATTTAATGTCTTTAGAGATGGCAGGAAGAGGGAGTCATCTGTGAGTTCTAGGGAACTCCACAGAGCTACCTAGGACACAACAGTCAGGAAGAGGTTTTCTCCTTCCTTCCATACTGCATTCGACAGACATTGAATAAGTCTCTACTTAAGCGAAGCAGTCTGCCTCTCCCTGGGGATACCCCTAAGAACAAGGCAGATGTGGACGCTGTTGTAAGAGAGCTTGCAGCCAGGCAATGACAGGTGGAAAGGTGGAGCACAGGTTGTGAAGGAAATAGCAAAGCTGGAGAAGAATGTGTGTGTGTGTGTGTGTGTGTGTGTGTGAAGGGAGGGAAGGTTTTGAAGAGGAGGGTAACAGGAACTAGAAGGAATAAGATTGCTTTGGAATCTTCTGAAGAAAGGGAGGAAGCCTTGAAGTAATCATTGGAGAGGAGTGACTTAACCATAACCATTCAAAGTTATGCAAGAGACAAACGTAAAGAACTATCCATAGCAAATAACATGGGGCACAAGCAGAAGAGTAAATAATGAATTTCATCTATTTTGCTATAAATCAGAAAGTGGCTCCAAACCAACAAAAAAAAATTTTTTTCAAGTTATGTGCTGGAGGAAGTGCTGGAGATAGCTCTCCTTATGTAAACTTATGTTCAAATACCACAAGGTTCTTTTGATTTCTTCACACAGTTCATGTTTTGATTCTTACAAATAGCATTTTAGAACATAATTCTTTGTTTTTCAAAACCTGTGGAGTTATGAGTGGATTCTTTTTCTCCATTTGAAAATGAAGTTGAGAAAAAGGTCAGCTGTAGTTTCACCCGAAGAGGAAAATTTTTCCTTTAGAAGCACGTCAAATTACCAGAAAATCCTCAAATTGCAGCTTCTGCCCTTGACCTCACCACATTGCTCCTTTAAGATAGCAGGAAGAAGATGAAAAAACACCACCCGCACTCCCTGGCCCAGTAAAGGCCAAGTTAGGGGCTTGAGAAAACCCTAATGCATGATTAGAGTCACAAATAGGATGCTAGCCACTCTTTCTCCTGTTAGATTTATTTTTTATTTCCATTCCAAGTTGAACTGCACTTTAAGCTTTAAGGAAAGGTGAATATTGTGATACTAAGTTATTTCTACGGCAGATTAAAATTGTACTTTCCATTAAAATAGATTTCCGTGTGGCAGAGGAAAGTTTATACAGGTTCCAGTAGAAAATTTAACTTCCCCCCCTGCTTTCCTTTCCCCTTTTCTCTCTCTCTTCCCTTCCTTCCTCTCTGCTTCTTTCCCCTTTCCCCGCTTTCTCTTCCAGAGAACATTACTTGTGTGATGTGACGTGGGCAACCCCAGAAAGGATCTCTCTGCAGTGGCTCAAGAGAATTCAGAACTATTCTGTGATGGATATCTGTGACTATGACAAATCCAGTGAGAGATGGACATGCTCAGTGGTAAGACTGAACAGGAATGCTCTACTTCTAAAGCTACCAGGATGGGATCCGGAAGCAGATGAATGTTGGGCATCAAGAAATGAAGTTTGAGACACTATTCTTTCTGACTCTGTGTCTGATCCCAAAGGAGTCATGAGTCATGACTAATTTTTAGGCAATCTGGTATGTGGTAATGCTTCTTTCTCCTTCATTGAGTCATACTCCTTTAGTTAAGATGCTAGTACTGCAAAAGAGGTGATTAAAAACCCAGCAAGTAGAATCTGATGTCAAAATTCAGAAGGTCAAAGAGGACCAGGAACTGCAGGTCAATGATAAGTATTTCTATAGAAAAAGTACAAGGGATGAGGAAGAGCTGCTGATGAGGCTATAAATCGTTACCATACTGTGACTAATTCAAAGCAATGAATAGCGTTAAGACTTACATTGATAACCACCAGTCTGTTTCCAGATGGTGGAAAACATGGAAACAAACTTGATGTGCTAGCAATTTCTGTCTGGTGTCTAGGCGGTCCAGCCAGGCTTCTGGAGCTGGAATAAAGGCCCTGTGGGAGCCTGTGGGTAAGTTTTGGGCTTTCAGCTCCTTCAGGAGAGGTAGAACCTGGTAGAAGGTTGCAAATAGTGAAAACACTTCTGCAAGATACCTTTCCTAATAAAGGGAGCTCCCCTCCCTACTCTTATCTTGCTTGATCACAAGGCAGATTCTCAGCTTCTCTCATTTGATTCAGTCATTCACTTATTGAATGCCCTGTGGCACAGTACTTAAGTGTTTAGCTGATAATTATAATGTTGGCAGTTCAAACTCACCAGACATTCCATGGGAGAAAGATGTGACAGTGTGTTTCTGTAAAGACTACAACTTTGAAAAATCTCATGAAACACTTCTACTGGGTCCTGAATATCACTATGAGACAGGATCGACCCTATAGCAACAGGTTTTATGTTTTTGTTTTTTTTTTTTAAAAAAAAATCAGTTAGAATGCCTATGTGCAAAATGTTCATCTCCTAGTTGGGAATGTCATTATGAAAATAATTATCGTTTGCCATATATTGAACACACCACATACTAGACTGAGTGGAGGTTGGCAGTGAGATTAAGTGGCTTGCTCAGGTAATGTAACACAGTCAGAAATAAAAAAAAAAAACAAAAACAAAAAAACCCAAGCTCTTTGCTTCTTGCCAGTGAAATCTCTGGAGTATCACTGCATTGTATAAGCAAGATACATAGGGAATGTAAGGTGAAAAAAGGAGGCTACCTCTACTGAGTCAGGTGCAGTGGAACAGGGAAATGATAGGGGATAGATGAAGCCATCTGATACATTCTACCATGATAAGCAGACAAGCACAAAAAGACCATGAAAGTGGGTGGTTAATATGTACAGCCAAGGTGATGGGAAATAGCTTGGAGTCTGCAGGGGACTACAGCTACATACGACTAGGGGTTGGAGGAGGAGAGAATGACAAGAACTGAAGTTTGAGTTACAGATGAAGGTTTATGTGCCATCCTGAGGAGTTTGGACTTACAAAGCAGGGAGCTTTTCCAAGGTTTAAACAGTAGGGCATTTAATTTGCCTTTTAAAAAACAACAACAAAAACCCAAATCTCTGTCAGTTGTCAGTTGGGGTACTGATTGGGGTAGGGAAGCTGAGTGGAGAGCATAGCAGTAGAGTCTGTAATGAGGAGAATATGACAAATGGGCCACTGGAGACTCGAGGGGATGTGAACAAAGGAAGCAGAAGTAAGGGACAAGTCAAGTCAGTCAAGGAAGGAGGTGACTGGGGCTGAGAGATGACTGTGAAGAGAGTGAGAGCCCAGAATGAGTCCTGTGTTAGTAGCTTAGAAGTCACCAGGTAGAACAGGAATGAGTAAGAGGAGCAGGTTTGTGGGATTGGGATGGAGGCTCCTTTCAGCTGATATCGTACCAATACCAGTGTAGGATATGGGCCTCGACTCAACTGTAAGATGTAAATAATCGAATGTACTTCCATCAAAATCATATTCATGAAAGTAAGTGAATGGGGGTAGTGCTCAATTCTTTTATTATTTGTTTGTTTATATCACCACAAATAGTAGCTGAAGAATAGTGTTTATCCTCTCATTTTTCTGAAATACTTTTAATTTTCCCCTTCCTAGGCACGACAACACATTGAAGTGAGCACCACTGGCTGGGTTGGAAGAGTAAGTGTTTAAAGTTATATGGAGTTTATGTAACATGGATTAGACGCTTAGTACTGCGCAATGTGTCGATGGTCACATTTAGGGCCCTATGATAGTGGTTGCTAACAAAAACATTGTTAACCTTTTTCTCAAAATATTTAAAGGTTACCTGTAGAGGTGTCCTTTAATGGAGAATATGTAACATCTTTAGTTGGAAAGTTTAAGGGACAGTGAAAAATCAAAAGACAAATAATAAAACAAAACACAGTCTAGGAAAATTATAGTTCTTAGTAAGTTAAAAAGCAACCTTTCCTGAAAGGCATCCAAGAAACTGAATGTGCTCATTGACCTCATATTTGAAGTTATGTGCTTTAGTAGCAGAAAACACAGCTTCCACCCACAGGCTGTACAAATGCCTGAGGAGATGTGATCACATCCAGCAGAAAATCCGTGGCAAACACATAACACTGGCTATGCCACTGCCTTTGGAAAACACTACACTCCTGTGGGTTCACACTTTTCCAGGCACCCAGAGGCAGAACTGTATCCAAGAAGGCGCAGTGACCCTTAGAGATTTCTCCTGCGTTCCCTTCCTGTTGCGTTACACATTGGGCAAAATAACTAATCATGTTGCTACGAGACCATGGAAAGAATCAAGTCCAGTGAAGGAATTCCAGCCATCACCGCACACAGTGTGTAAAAGAGGAAGCATACATCTCACCTAATCCTTATGACAATTTTTACTAAGCTCCCTTTAAGGCAGCGGGGGTGGGGAACATGGCACAAAGAAATACAGGGATTTATGTAACTCTTGAGTCACAGAAGTGAGGGGCCCTTGGTCCAAGAACACAACCCCTTCCAGCTGGGCTCAGGGCGACGATAGCATTTACACGTCCTTTTTCTTTAGGCATTGATTGGGCAGAGGGGAGAGGTTTGCCAACATGAAAAGTGGTTTCCTCCATGGCAAGAGACATGCTACACTTCCTCACGACTCTCTGAAAAAAATATGTTTTTTCCTCTCTGTATTTAACCAGACAGATGCCACTTTTCACACATTTCTAGTAGGCACAACTCCATCCAGGGGAAACAGGGAAATGTATTAAAAAGATAAGGCTGTGAACACAGGTCTAGAGAGGGGAATGTGTTTCAGAGCTCTGTAATGAGAACACCAAGTGTACTGCACGCCTCAGCTTGCTCCATAAATGAATTCGCTTTGAATCACTAAATAGAAGAGGGAAGCATTTTCCTTCTTTCCCAAAATGGGAGCTTGATGAGAGAGGAAACATCGAGGGCGAAGTGAACCAACAATTTTAAAAGACCATCTCCTACCTGCTCTCAGATGTAGCAAGGAAGTCGGAATCATAAAGCGACATATTTCTTTCAGGCTGGGAAGAAGCACCGTTCTGCTTAAACAACAGAATCTTCTGAGCACTCTCTCTCACTGAACTGTATAAAGTAGAGATTTTGTTCTCTGTTTCTTTACAACTATATTTTTTTTTATGAATTGCTGGGCGTATTTGTATGTTTAGCAAAGGCAAGAGGCTTATGATAAAATTATGGCTCTGTGGATATCTCAGTTTGAAAGATATGACAGATATTCCTTGCAGGAATGTCCAGAAACAGCCTAAAGTTCTTAATAAAAGAAATTAATATAAAGAAAACACCCTCCCAGAAATTAAAAATCCATTCTCCCACCCATATTACAAAATACCTCTAAGCTAAAAAAAAATTTTTTTTAAAAAGTAGTGTGTTTTCATTACACATAGGGAATTCACATAGGAGTCACTGGGTTCCCCTCTAAAATGAGAAAATGTCCAGAAATTACAGCAGTGACCTCTCCCTCCTGAGTGTCCTGTGGGAGCCTCTTTATGTGTATTTCATGTTTACTAGCAGAAAAATCCTGTTGAGTTAGATTTCTCCCCACTTTCCTTTTTAATAGAAAGAACATTTTCTTTTTCAAACTCTGTTTAGTTTGGCAAGTAAATAAAGCCTGGGTTTTGGACAGAGTTCATGCTGGTTTGATCCCCTATTGAGCATTTGCCTTTTCACCTCAGATATACTGAATCAGAATCTACATTTTAGCCAATCCCTAGGTGACCTTCGGGTGCAAATTCTGAGTAGGAGAGCTCAGGGTCTAAAAGGAATGAACCAGGTCGAAGCTCTGATGTGGACAGGACCTTCTGAAACTCAAGTTGCTGTAGAGATGAGATTCACTTCATGTTGTATTCTTTGGGTTTTCCATTATTTTCCAGTTTAGGCCTTCCGAACCTCACTTCACATCAGATGGTAATATGTTCTACAAAATCATAAGCAATGAAGAAGGCTACAAACACATCTGCCGTTTCCAAATAGATAATCAAGTAAGTATTTTGGAAAAATTCGTTCAAGTCTCCTTTTGCAGAAACTAACTTGAGTGGAAACCATCCACTATATTTGATCAATGCATATAAATAATTGGACTAATTAAAATTCCTGAGTAGCTTCTGGAGTGGGGTGAGATGAGGTAAAGAGACTCAACAGGGAAACCCAAGATTAGTCCTGATAAAAATAATCTCTTTCTTCACCTAATTTTAATAAGAAAAGCAATCTAATAAATTTCTCTTTCAAAAACCCTGCCAGCACTGTACATTTATTACAAAAGGAGCCTGGGAGGTCATCAGGATCGAAGTGCTTACCAACGAACACCTGTGAGTTTTTGAATAACCGATAGGATATAAATCTTCTTGCCGTAATCATGCCCTCTTCGCCCAGTAGGGAAGAATCTCTCGCAAATAAACAGTAGTCTGTTTGGAATGTGTTCAGTACTTTTTTCTCTTTAACATACGGAAGCCTTAATGATTTTCACATATGCTTCGCAGAGTTGATACCGTGCCACAAGCAGCTCTACCTCTTGCTCTTACCTGCTTTACGTTGTAAGAGCTCCAGCCTCTTTTCCTTGACTAGGAAATGCTGAACTAGCATTTAGGGTCACAGAATTCTTAGAAGTCTTGGGAAAGCTAGTTTGTCCATCTATGTCTCAGCCTTACCATTTGGGAAATGGAAATATTTTGCAGAGGCTTTCTTTCCACTACATTTCATCAATGATAAAAGAGGACTTGGGGCTTTTTTTAGTTCTGTTACAGTTTTCTTGTTTTACAACAGAATGTTGTCACTGACCAGTTACAGGTCTTCTTTTGATCTGGCACATCTCCTGGCAGGAGGAGCAGATTCCTACCATCTAAGAATTTGTATTACGAATCAAGAAAATAATGTAGAAAAGGGGTCCAAATTTCAGATTAGTTTTCCAATCACGTTTGCAGACAAAAGACCCATTTTGAGTTTTTTAATCTGTCATTGTAGTTAACATAGAGATGCCTGCATTCATATGTTTTAATGTCAAGAAAAAGAATACCCACTATAGAGACAATGAAGAAAAGTTCATTCTTTTCGGCTTCTGTCTTGGGGAGGAGGGTGGTAGAGCAAAGGCTGAATGTGAGATAGATATATGCCTTAAAAATATGCCAATGGCTCATGTTTGAATTAAATGACATACATTTAGTTGGTTTTTTAAAAATATATTTGTATAATTAATATATATTTTACTTGTTTTCTTCACAGATACTACATTAGCAATCAATATAATGGAATTCCAGGAGGAAGAAATCTGTATAAGTAAGAGCCCTCTTGTTCTTGACTCTTTTTTAGCTGATGTAAAATTTCTGGGCTCTTATTTCCTTGTCCTAACTAGCATTAAAGTAGTTCCAGTGGCACAGTGCATAATGTGTTGCCCTGCCAGCTGAAACCAGCAGTTAGAATCCAACATCCACGAGAGAAATCTTTATCCACATGAAGATTTATTACATCAGAAACCTGAAGGAGGATTGCTATGAGTCATTATCAACTATACAATAATGGTGGGGGTTTTCCACACTTGGTTTAACTAGGATTAAACTAGAATTGTTCTGCACTTGAATGTTTCTATTCTTTTATACATTAATCTTCAATTCAACAAAAAGGAAAATGTCATATTAGGTGTTTTGTAATATTGCCAAACAGTGGAATGTTTAAGGTTATTACAGATTAATTGTGCAACAAAAAGGAGTTTGGTTTCTTTTTGGTTTTTTTTTAGGTTTTTCACATTCAAAAACAAAAGGCCTTTAAGAGTCGGTTTGGCTTTCTGAAATCTTTTGAAATGATTATGCCATTCTGTTTCTTCCCGTCATTTATTCCTTCATCAAGCACTTAATTTTCTCCATTGGTTTTACAGAGTCCAACTTAATGATCCTACAAAAGTGGAATGCATTACTTGTAAGCTGGTTCCAGAAGAAAGTAAATACTATTCTGTATCATTTAGTAAAGAGGCAAAGTATTATCAGCTGATATACTCAGGTAAGTTTGTACTGACTGGCACATTTACAACCATCTATCTGAAATTGCGTCTTTTTTCCCCTCACTCAGTCTATTGGAAGCAGACCCCTTCCTCCCCCTCACCTTTAATTCATCAATTCTCTTTGTGCTCCCCACCTGATGCTCCTCCTCTCTTGATAGTTTAACCTTCTTTATCTCCATCCGTGTAGTTTCCCTTCCTGTCTCCAGCTTGAGATACATTCTTTCTGCTCAGCCTAATTTTCTCCTCTTCAATTGAGGAGCTTTTGGATTGGATAAGTCTCCATCTCTTAAGTTCCCATTTCCTCAAAAGAGAGGAAGACCTTCAACTGGATGGATTGACACTGCCTTGTAGCAATGGGCTCAAGTATGTCAAAGATTGTGAGGATGGCACAGGATAGGACAGGGTTCAGATCTGTTGTTTATAAGGTCACTATGGGTCGTACTTAAGAACACCTAACAGCAACCATCTTTTAACTCATACCTACAAGTTTAACCACCTTTCCATCCCATTTTAAACAAGAAAATGGCATAGTTTGCTTTAGACTGAAAACAGACACTCCAGAACTAATGTGTAACAGAGATACTTGATCCTTATATGTGCACTTATTATGGTTATTCTTTATTATTTTATGCATTTGCCTGTTTAAGTGAGAATATATATGCAGATAATGTGTTTCACAAACTCTGCCCTATTTTCTGTGGTTAATCCTTTTTTAGCCTAGTGGTAGGAAGCTGCATGGCAATCCCAAAGGCACGTGGGATGAATTCACCAGCTGCTCCATGGGAGAAAAACGGGCAATCTCCTCCCATGAGATTAACTACCTGTGAAAACCCACCAGAGGGTCAGCTGTGGGTCAGTTCTGACTCGATGGTACACAACAAAAACGACAATATTATAAATGAAGAATCCTGGACAAGGAGTTATAGTGACTTACACAAGGCCACAGAGGTAGTAAGAAGTAGAATGGGAACCAGACACCTGGCTTCACTTCCAGAGCCCTCTCTCTTAAGCCCAGTGCTAGAATGATTCTTAAAATGGGAGAAAGAACCTGGATTTTATAAAAACATATGAATTTCAAATTTGAAAACTGTCAAAATGAGACCTCCAAACTAGTCAACTGGAAGTTTTTGTACTGTTGTCCAAAATCACGCACACATAAGTAAACCAAGTATCAAAACCAAGGCTGTGTCTGGCTTTTTACTGTGTCTCTCCCCAAAGGTAAAAGAATGAATATTAACATTTAAATGCATCAAAAAACAAGTAAGTCACAAAATATCTCTTCTGTACCGTTACCTTCATCGCTGCAATCACCACAGTTGGGATAGTGAAGATATATGCTTGTGAGAAAAACACTTTCGCATGCCAGGAAAGAATTGCTTGTCCAAACTAACCACCGTGCAGGTGTGGGTGCAGATGGGCAGCCAGAGGGAAACCCGCCCCCTTCCTAGGGGTGGAGGGCAACAGAGCTCCACCCTAAGGGGGCGGGGCCAGAGAGAGCTCAGGGCGGAGAAAACCAGAACATAGGTATCAGCTGTCAGAACAGGTAGTCAGGGGCCCAGGTGATTGTGATCCAAATACTTCCAATCCATTCCCGAACCTGTAGAGTCTTAACCGTGAATTGCAATTATTTTAAGCAAAGGACGAAAAAAAAAATTACAGGGATAATCAGCCAACATTGAGCCCCTTATGATATTTATATTATGATAGCCCACTATGATATTTATTATGTGCTCTGACAAAGTAGAGTGGTAACAAATTCTATTTTTGAAACGTAATGCATGCCATCTTTCTTCTTTTGAAAAAATATTCAAAACATCTTTTTCTCTGATTATCTTAACAGGTCCTGATCTACCACGCTATACTCTGCATCGCAGTAGCACTGATGAAGGTATTTGTATCATATTTCTCCCTTCATTTGCTTTTAAAAACCTGTCTGAATAGAACCAGTAGAATATTTGCACAGTGTGATTTCCTTTGGCTTTTGAATCTCTTAATCATGCTTTGAACACGGGACTTGTGACCTGAAATATACATCGTCTAAATGACTCCTAATTGTTTATTACTGCATTACATAATCAAAATTCTTCACATTGTGACAAATCTCTGCTGTCTCCTGTATTTAAATAGAACTGAGAGTCTTGGAAGACAACTCAGCTTTGAGGAACATGCTGGAGGATGTGCAGATGCCCTCAAAAGAACTGGGTACCCTTGTTTTGAATGGGATAAGTAAGTGAAAAGATAATTAATTTCCCCTGGTATAGTTTTTCTTATAAAAACACCAATAAAATACATCCAAATATGATCACTTCATCAGAAAATTTTCACTTTTATACTATGTAAAAATCTAGTTTAGGAAGTTTCCATGAAATAAATGTACTGTCACAAGAATTATTAATTTTGCATGCTTTGGTCTTAAAATAGAATAACATCCTAGGCAAAAATGTTTCAAGACAAAAGGTATTTGGAGAAAACACATTATTGCTAATGCAGTTGTAACATATTAGTAACTTTTCTATTGTTAAATATTAATCGTGCTTTTAACTTTATGATATCCTAATACAATTTCAATCTAAAAAGACTGAAAATCTGTGAAATGACAGTATGAAAAATTTAGGGTTAGCTATAAAATATTTATACTGCAGTCTCAGGAAAGAAATCTTAATTTCTTTCTAAAAACACTCTCCCTGTAATATAGCTAGTTCATGGCTTTTTGTCTTATAATGGATTCTATTTGGCAATCTCTAAAAACAATGAATTTACTTGAGTGAAATAATTGATCAGTCTTTTGGTCTTTCTCTCATATTAGGAGTAACAATTTATGGGTGGAGAATCTATCAGGAATCAATATATTTTAAAAAACTGGGCTTAGTACACTTTAAATTTAGGATAAAAGCAAGAAATACTCAGGAAATGACAGGAAAAACACCTGGAAAGTGCACAGTAATTCTCAAGAATAGCTTAGAAATCAATGTGCATATGAATGGTCTAGGACCTTGTTAACATGCACATTTGGATTCCCCGCAGACGAGAGAGGCCCAGGGGTGTGCATTTGTAATGGACTTCCAGTTGGCATCAGTGCTGCTGGCTGTTGACCCACACTTAAAGCGAGCTCAGACTGTCTGGTGCTGACAGTGTTGAAAGCTGAGATGTAATATTTAATTTCTCTTGGGACACTATGGGGAGCCCCTGAAGACTTCAGGGTCAGGAGAGCACCATGATTAGGTAGACAATTCTGTGGGGAATGTGGAATGGGGGTGCTAGGTGGGGGAGAATCTTGTTGACAGGGAGGTTGTAATAATTCAAACTGGAAAAGAAGACTTGAAGAAGGATAGAAGAGAAAGAGCAAGAGAAGAAGGATTAAGTGAGGAAACAATTCCAAAGAAAAGGTAGAACTAAAAAATCTTCAACTCTAGTGCCAAATTAAATAAGAAAAACAGAAAAATCAAGTGGGAAGCATCCCACACTCTTTATAAATATTCGTGTTCAACTGATAGTTTGGCATTCTATTAAAATTATAGTGGAAATAGAGTTTCTGGTGTTTTTAGAGTTGGAATCGACTAGATGGTGATGGGCTATAAACGCACTTAATCAGAAAGTATAAAAATAATTTGCAAAATACAAACTGAAGAGAATTCTATTATATAAAGATTCTACTCTGAAACTTTTCTTTTTTCCTCAACTAAATAATTATAGCAAACAGAAAACAAAATATAAAACAGATATATGGAAGTAACAGCTCCAGAGCTTAGAATGTCCTTCCCCCTTGCCAGTAAAATCTACTGAATTTAGAAGTAACCTTATTAAAATAGGCAACAACTCTTTTTTTTTTAAAAGAAGTACAAGATGAATTAGCCTAAATTGAAATCTAATTTTGGGAGAAACAGAAACTGATCTGATATTTAGGAACAAATTTTATTTAACTGATGTCAAAACCAAGCACAGTGGAATGAAATAGATGAGCAGAAGGTCATATAGAATATTTGCTAGCATTTACTCTATGTATACCTGATTTTATTCTGTAAACATAGCTAAAAATGGGAGCTCAATACTGCAGTCTGGGATGGCAATAGGATAGAAAAGAATGTTATTAAATCAGAATTTTAAAATAGAGTTGGGGCCAACTAAAAAGCCTAAACAGCTTCAAGAAAATTCAAGAAGAGGAAAACATTTTGGAGGAAAACTTAGAACATAAGTCATAAACAAAACTAGATAAGAAGAGCCAAAGAGCAGAATTTTAAAAACAAAATATCAGGAATTCTAAGATGCACTTTTCTTTTACGAGGCACCTATGCATTAAATAGATACATTAGAAGTGAATATTGTTTCAGTATTAACTACTATTTTCCTGTAGAAGAGGTTGTTTTCATAGTTTAAAAGCATACAAGCTTATTTCCTTTTTCTAATCTTCTTTAGTAAACTGTCTAGATGTGATTTAATCACTGACAAAAGAGAAGGAAGGAAATCTTGTGCTGAATATTGTTCATAACTCTACTAATTAACCTTTTCTATTTTTTTTTAGAGTTTTGGTATCAGATGATCTTGCCTCCTCATTTTCATAGATCTAAGAAATATCCTTTACTTTTAGATGTGTAAGTATTCAACAGAAGGGAATGATTTAGAAGTTAACCATCATATATATATATATATATATATATATATATATATATTTTAACCCAGTGCAGTTTCCTAAAAGTAGAGCCAAAAATGCATCCTTTCTCTCTTCCTGAGTCATTGTAAAGCCATTTTATCATTTTCTCCTTCCCCTTTGCTCTCAAAGCTCCAGCGTCTCAAACCGGAAAAGTGGTTTCTTCCATTTTCCTAGAGACAAGGCAGACACACCTTTTCTGTCATCACGCCATATGAATTTTATTTTCTGAAACTCTTAAGGCAGTTATCAAAGAAATGATACTCTTTTATGCTGCAAAGAACCTCTTAATTATTTTGTGCATATGTTTTAGAATGAATTTTTTTACTCTCCAAATGTGCCCAAACATTTCCCACCTCTTCTTTCAGCTCCTCGAATACCACTGCCTGGTGTTACCCAATCCTTTTCTGTGGAGTTCTGACATCACAGGCATTGAAACAGTTCACGAGAACACATGAACTTTACAATATAGCAACTTTGTAAAAATATTGTTTTAATAATTAGTAAGACTGTATTTTAATTTAATCGTCTAAAAAATTAACTGGCCTCACTCATAAGGCCACAATGCCACTTCCTGTCCTAGTCGGCTTCATTTCCTTTATCAAAACAAAATAAAACTAACAAGTGTTCTGGGTAACTGCCCTGTGCCAGATGTTTAGCATAACTCATTTCATCTCATTCACATAACAAACCTGTTGGTGGGTTTTACAGAACTTATTTTTAAAGAGAAACGGAAGCTCGAGACACCACTTTTCTGTTGTTAGCAAAAGACACAGATGCTAGCATCACATACAACCTTGCTCCACAATGATTACTATTCCATGAAAGTGAAGCGTAAAATGTTGACGAATCATAAATACGGGTATTTCAAACCTCCTAATGAGTGACATGATTTTCTTTAAGATAACACACCTGATATTGACTACAGAGATGCTAATTTGCTTTTTAGACTCAATTTAAAAAAAAATCCCTATGATAAATGTAATATTTTTGCCCTTCCTAACTTCCCAAATCAATTTCATGGTTGTTGAGTTATTCCAATATAAAGTGGCCCTGTGGGACACAGTTGGGAGCTCTGGTAGCCTAATGGGTAAGGAGTTTTGCTTCTAATCCAAAGGTGGGCAGTTCAAATCCTCTAGCTGTTCTATGAAAGAAAGATAGCCAATATCCTCCCCTGTGATTTACAGCCTCTGAAAACCTCCTAGATTGTCAGCAACGAATTAGTTGATTCCAACTCAAAGGCAGTGAGTGAGGAATAGGACAGGACAGAACTGTTCCGTAGGGTTACTGAGTTTATAAATTTTTATGAGAACAGATTACCTTCTCCTTCTCCCATGGGACATGACTGGTGGGTTCAAACCACTAGCCTTTTGGTTAGTAGTGCTATGTTTAACACACTGTGCTATTACAGCTCCTTACCTGACTTCCTACTTAGTAATTCTTAGACCTTCTCTTGGTTATGAAAATATATACATATACATCATTTTAAGAAAACTTAAGTGTCCACTTCTGTTCAATGATTTTTCATCTTCCTCTTTTTAAAAACATAGATTTTTATTGTTGAGACGACACATCAAAAAATATATGCGAATTAAATTATTTTCTTATGTATAATTCAGTGTCATCCATTACATTCTTTTGCGTTGTAACCGTGTTCACCCTCATTTTCTGAGTTGCTCTTCCATTAACATAAGTACATTGCCCTCTAAGAATGCTCATATCTTCTGAAATGCTGTTGACACTTTGATCCAACACAGTCATTGTGTAACATGAGTTGGAACAACCCATAACTGACCCTCCAGCAGGTTTTCAGAAGCAATAAAGGACATGAATTAGATTGTTTTCTCCTTCAGAGCAGCTGTTACCTTTGGGTTGGCAGTGCAATCCCTTACCACTAAGCCACTAGAGTTCCATAATTCTCTATATGATCTCATAATGAGAATTTTTGACAGTGTAATGCTAACATCAGACATATTTTACTAGTTAGGCTAACTTTTATGTAGCTTTAAGACAACTTCACAAATTTTAAGTATTATCTCAAAGGTATAGTTTCTGTATTTAGCCTTTGATAGCTCTAGGAAATCTGGAGCCCAAGAAAATGTGAAATTATATTCTGCATTTTTCTTCTTTTGGTCAAGAATCTTTAAGGAATCTTTAATCAAATATCTAATAACAGTATTAAGCACTCTCTACTTCTGGTTTCATGACGAAAGAGACAAGTTGCCTTTGCAGCCAACTTGTGACACATTTCATATCTTCCTCCTGTCCCTCATGCTCCTTCTACTTCTGTTGCTCCAGATGTTGTTTTCTTCTGGTTGTTGTTGTTCTGCCATCAAACTCTTTTGACTCATAGCCACTCTATGTATACTAGTTCTGATCTCTGCCTTATCCTGAGCCAGTCTCACTGACTGACTTATGTCCCCCCATTACCCCAGATACTGTGTCAGCCCCTCTTATCTAGGGTCTTCCTTCCTGCATTGTCCCTCCACTTTTCCAAGCATGGTGCCCTTCTCAAAGAACTGGTCCTTTCTGGCCATATGCCCAAAGTATGTGAGACAGAGCTTTAAAATCCTTGCCTACAAGGAGAAATTTGCTTCACCCTTTCCAAGAGAGACTTCTTTGTTCTCTTGGTAGTCCATGGTATGTTCAATACTCTACTCCAGCACCACAACACAAAGGCATCAATTTTTCTCTCATCCTTAGTCATTGTTCAGTTATCTGATGCATAGCAAGTAATTATGAAGACCAGCGTCTGGATCAGTTGCACCTTAGTCCCTAGACTGACCTTATTGCTCTTTAGGATTTTGAAGAGGTCCCTGACAGCAGACCTCCCCAATGAAGCATTAAAAGGAGATAGAAGGGGTATACAGAGTCACTGTATCAAAAATAGTTGGATGACACAGAAGAATTTCATGAAATAACATTATCAAGAGGCAATGGTGATATAGGAGGAAGTTCAAGGTGCTCTGAAAGAACTGGCAAAAAACAAGGCCACAAGAATTGATGGTATATGAATTGACATATTTAAGCAAACAGATGCTTCTTTGGAGATGCTCACCAGGTTGTGCCAAGAAATCTAGAGGACAACTACCTGGCTAACTGACTAGAAGAAATCCATATTTATTCCCATAAAAAGAAAGACCCAACAGAGTGTGGAAATTATCAAACAATATCATTAATCTCACATGCAAGTACAATCCTGCTGAGAATTATCAAAAAATGACCAGAACAGTACATGGACAGAAAGCTAGCAAAATACAAGTTGGGTTTAGAAGAGGCCATGACACTAGAGACATTATTGCCAGTGTCTGAGGGATCTTGGCTGAAAGCAAAGAATACCAGAGGAAAGTCAGTGTTTCATTGACCATGCAGAGGCATTTGATTGTATTGTGGCTGACTCTGAGAAGAACGAGGCTCCTAGAATACTTTCTTGTGCTCGTGTGAAACCTGTACGTAGACCAGGAAGCAGTCCTCAGAATAGAGCAAGGAAACTGCCTGGCTCAAAATCAAGAAGGGAGTATGTCAGGGATACATCCTGCCTCTTTATCTTTTCAATCTGTATGCAGAAAAGATCATTCGAGAGGTTGGGGGGAATGTGAAGTTAGGATTAGAGGGAGACTGATCGATACGCAGATGACACAACCTTGCTTACTGAAACCAAGGACATGAAGCACTTGCTGCCTAAGGTCAAGGACTAGAGTCTTTAATATGGATTGAAGCTCAACATCAAGAAGACAAGGATTCTCATCCCTGGGCCAACTGGCAGCACCATAATAGATGGAGAAGAGATTGAGGTTGTTAGCAATTACAACTTACTCGGCTCCACAATCAACACTTTTAGCACCAGCAGTGAGGAAATAAAAAACATTGTTCTAGTAATAGAAACAAATTGTTGTGCCTTAGATGGCTATTTGTAAACTTTTGAGATCCAAGGCACTATGCATTGAAACAGAAGATACAACAGAAGCATTAAACATGTTATTGGTATTGTTGATAGTTATTATATGGCACTGAGTCAAAAGTGAGTTATAGCTGATCCTCCACTGGGCTTTCAGGGGTTGTAAATGGCACAGGAGGTGATTGTCTACCTTTCTTCTCTAGAGCAACAGCTAGTGGATTTGAATTGTGTGCCTTTGAGTTGGTAGCATAACTCCTTACTACTAATCCATTTGAATGTCTCATGAAACTGACCCTAAACCTTCAAACCAAGGAATCAAATCCCTTGAAGTGTTTGGTTGGACATAAGTAGCCTCATCAGCGACTCATGATTGTGACTCCTCTTCCTCTGTTTAGAGGTTTAAATTTTCACTTTAATTACCGAAAGTAATTTAATTTCATTTTGAGGATTAGCTATTTGAAACAGAAATTTTAAGTTATAGCACTTGTTTCTATTGTGTCCATTCCATGGGCAATCTCCTCCTGTGTGATAAACCACCTCTGAAAACCTACTGGAGGGACACCTATGGGTCGGTTCTAACTCTGTAGTACACAGCACAACAGTGAGTGCAATAAGCCCAGAGTTTGTGAGACAAAGCTTTGCCATCCTTGCCGTGAAGGAGTACTCTGGCCTACTTCTTGGAAATGGACATCATGCTTGAAATGGTGGAGGGTCAGCAAAAGAGAGAAGGACCTCAACAAACGGATTGACACAATGACTGCAGCAAGGGGTTTCAGTGTGTCGGAGATGATAAGGATGGCATAGGATAGGACAGGTTCAAATCTGTTGTTCATAGGGTCCCTAGGGATTGTACTTTACTCTTTTGTTCAGCACTTAACAACAACAGTGTGTGTACTGTTGTGCTGGACATTGTAGGAAATGGAAAACATAATACAGCAGTCAGAGTCTCAAAGAAGTAAAAACCTAAGAAATAAACTGCAGTCTGGAAGTTTTTATTAACTGAGATGTAGAGATAATATTCAAGGCTGCATATATTGTCGTCAACATTATCATCATAATGATTTCACTCTCCAAACTATTAGAGAATTAATTTCATTGGCTTCTAAAATGTATGATACTTAGAAAATGTCTGCCAGTGATAAGAATCTTCAAAGAGAAAAGCTTGGGCTTATTTAAAAGAAGGGAACTCCGATGGCCTGGTGGGTACAGAGTTCTGCCGGCAACCCAGAAGCAGGTAGTTCAAGTCCACCATCTGGTATGTGGGAGAAAGAGAGGCAATCCCTCCTGTTTGATTCACAGCCTCTAAAAAGTCACTATGAGTTAGCTATGAGTTAATTCTGATTCAATGACAATGAGTTTGGGTTTTAGTTGAAGGAACCACACAGCCATTAGAGCTGAGATACTGTTATGGATTGAATTGTGGTGTCTTTTCCCTCCTACCCCAATGTGTTACAAATCCTGATTTTCATTGTAATTCTTCCTGAGGATGCATTGTCTTTGTTATGTTAATGAATAGGATTAATCCAATGCCTTTTGTTATGTCAATCAATACAGTCTCTCTTAAATAAAAGATATTAAAGCAGAGAGAAGAGAGATGCTATCCTGCCTGGAGATTGCTAGGGAGCCAAGCTCAGAGAAGACAAGGACTTAACTCCTCAGCTGACTGAGAAAGCGTTCTCTGAGGGCCAGAACCCTGAATTCAGACTTCTAGGCTCATAATTTGTAAGAAAATAAATTTTTGTTTGTTAAAGCCACCCACATGTGACATTTCTGAAATAGCAGCACTAGACAATTAAGATAATTGCCAAGTTTTAAAGGATCCATTCTGAACACCCTGGTGGCTGGCACAATTTCAGGTTCATGATCAGAAAAGAGAAATGAAAATATTCTTCATTTGATGGAAAACCATGAGCTAATGATTTGAAATCTTTCACAGATATGCAGGCCCCTGTAGCCAAAAAGCAGATGCTGCCTTCAGACTCAACTGGGCTACTTACCTTGCAAGCACAGAAAATATTATAGTAGCTAGCTTTGATGGCAGAGGAAGTGGTTACCAAGGAGATAAGATCATGCATGCAATATACAGAAGACTGGGAACATTTGAAGTTGAAGATCAAATTGAAGCAGCCAGGTGAGTAAGTGGAAGATTCAAATTCAAAGGTCGTCTGATTTTTTTTTTTTAACCAGTTCATATTTTCATATTATTAATTGTAAAGAATATTGATTGTTTTGGTTAAATCTATAGCCTTTCATCTTTAGATTATATTTTTAGTGAAGGTTATCACATTTAGATAAAAATATATATTATTATGGATTTATACAAGTGTTCTTTTTAAAAAAGCATTTTCCAAATTCCTCTCTGTGTGAGTCGAGAAAGATAGTTGATATATGCTACCATCACACAGAAACAGACTCCAAATTCATCAAACATATGTGGACACACTGAAGTTAAATGTACCGCTGAGTAAACATCTAACCAACAAGACAAATCCATTCTGTTGCAAGGATAAGTGAGGAGTGACTGTGGTGGAGTCCAAGAAGTGGCTTAAACAGTTTGGGTGAGAAAATTATAGAACACAATCATCACAAGTTACAATTATAAAGACTTGGTTGAGTAGGAATCACATCTGATCCTCTATTTTCCAATTAAGGGACTATTCATAAATGTGATCTATCTTAAGAAAGATTTTAATTGTTAATGAAGGGTTTCATGTAATGAGCACATAATGAGGGAAGTATTTTAATTGCCTTGTTGTTGAAACCACCCAGCAGCTCTTTGGAGGTGGGTATCCATATCCCCACATTTCAGGTAAAGAAATGGAGGCTTTCCAGGTAGGTAACTTGCAAATTAGACAGAATTTAGATGGAATGCTTAAATCCTATTGCATTCAGCAAGTAAATGGGAAATTTACACTTTTGAGTTTCATTAACCAATGTAGAGATATATGGGAAAGCATAATAAGTGGGGTGGTTAAAGATAATGTTAAACAAATAACTAAGAAATTCAGAAAGATTAATAAGTAATTAATGGGTTAACAAGACACCTTTGAGAAAATGAATAACCAAAGAGAAGATGACAGACTATTTTTAAGTATCCCTGAGTGGATTAAGGTCTCTCATACATAAATAATGATCTATTTTTTTTAACAGTTAAAAAAGAGACAGTTTAGAAAGCAGGCAAATTAGTTTAAGGGTAAGACTGTGATATTATAAAAATGAGTTTTTACCCATACAGACTGGTTCTGAGAAATAGGACATAGTTTACAGGGCCACTCAAATATAATCAATGCAACTCCTAAAATTACAGAACTGAGTATCATGAAAATACAATTCCAGTTTAAAAATATAATGAGATGTGGTGTATTCTTATAATGGAATGCTATTCCAGCAACAAAGAAAGAACTCTACATAATAACATACTGAATCTTATGAGCAGACTGTTTAATGAAAGAAATTGGACTAAAAAAACCATACATTTTGCATAATTCAGTTTATTTGTTTAAAGTCCAAAACCAGGTAATATCATCTAATCAGAATGATTAGTGATTACTTGTACACACACATACAGAGTCAGGTACAACTTTTATGGACTCCAATAAAAGAAAACATTTCTTTTGGTTATTTTACAAATGAGAATGTGGTTGGGAAGTTTCTGGGATTACCTGCAGTGCGCACCATCTTGATACAAGTTTAGGTTTCCAGGATATCTGCACTTTATAAAGATGTGTCAAGTTTACACTTAAGATCTCATATAGTTTTCATGGTTTTCATAGCTTTCTTTAATTTTTTAGAAGTTTGCATTGAAAGGATCAGTAGAAAAGTACTTATTTAACATTTTCTCATAATATAGCTTCACTCAGAGCAGCCGAAAAGATATATTATCAATTAATAACACAAATATTTTCCACTTGGCTGGTGCAAGAATCCCCTTCTTCCCCTTCTCTACTATGAAGGCACATTTGCTAGATTTACAACAACAACAACAACAACAAATCCCTTAGGGTTTTTCAACCATTTTTACATGTACAATTAAGTGAGCAAAGTGCCTTTTGATGTAAGGTTGCAATAGGTGTACAGAAACATTTTACTTATTTTTTTTTTAAATAGAGATTGCACTCAGAGCACAGTTTAGTTAATCCATAATCCCTCAAAGTAAAATTGTTTTCTGTTTAGTGATGCGGAGGTATCTAATCAACACTTAGCATAGAAGAGATTTATTTAGAGAATAGTGTTTAAATTCTCAGGTAGGAGGTCCAGAGCCACACTAAGCCCTACCCAGCTGTTCTCCGTGCCCCTGTATTTCTCCACTGCAGGGGCAGACTCTCTTGAACTGAAAACATCTGGAGAAATTTAAATTCAATTATGTATAGAAAAGTGCATCTGGGCTGCAAATTTTTATATAAAGCTGTGAAAAAAAACTGCCAGGATTTGTTTTCTGTGAATCACACACACACACACATACACACACACAGACAAAATTATTATGGACTCCAAAAAAAGTAACCGTGTTCATCTGGACCTCAAGTGAAAATGATAGACATTTTAGACATTTGTCTCAGGTGTTGATTTGACTGCTGGCAGTAATTAGTCCTCATTTTTAATAGAATGAAGTAAGAACAAATGGCAGGGTTTCACATTTGTGTAGTAATCTTACTTTTCTATACTCATTCATGGACTTCTTCCATGTGTTTTAGGCAATTTTCAAAAATGGAATTTGTGGATGACAAGCGGATTGCAATTTGGGGCTGGGTGAGTAGCTTGTTTGGCTGGTGAATCTGTATGTGTTCCTTAGAGGATATAACCCAGAGCAGGATATGTTATCTTTTGTATGTAAACATTCAGAGATGAAAATTGTGTGCATCATGTTTTAAAACTAAGAAGTTCCAGATAAAATGTCTGAGATCCCTGAGAAATGGTCTGCTAGACTCTCTACTGCACTAGGCTTATGTCTTTGTTTATTGTGATGTGAAGGGAGGGATGAAGGAAAGGAGGGGAATGTCTCTCAGAAGTCTTAGCTGGTAAAGTGGGAAAATATTTAGTGTTGATTTTTTTCATTTAATAGACACTACCCAGTTATGAAAGCCAGCAACTTTTTCATTCATTTTCCCCTTTATCTACTCTTAAAATGGATCCGGAATTTGAAGTATAGGCTTTCGACTGCCCAGTTAATGCCAATTTAAACCTGGTCTTTTATGCTTTCTGTCTCTAAAGTGGTACAGCAAATAAGATGTGAGAAGTTTAGAAACGATGAGTTGCTTACTACATGTCTGTTACCAAAATGACGGTTTCTGTTCCTTAGTCATATGGAGGGTATGTAACCTCGATGGTCCTGGGATCTGGAAGTGGCGTCTTCAAGTGTGGAATAGCTGTGGCACCTGTGTCACGCTGGGAGTACTATGGTATGTAATCACAACCGAAGTGCAAAGAGACACGAGGTACTGACCTCAAAATTTCAGTGATGAAACCCTTTCCTTTTGAACCTCAGTGTTTTCACAATCAGCTGATTCATCTCAGAAACACATTGTTGTTGTTAGGTGCTGTCAAGTTGAGTATGCCTCATAACCACCCTATGAACAAAAGAACTGAATCTTGTTCTTTATTGTGCTATCCTCACTTTCTGACACATAACAGCCCATTGTGGCAGTCACCATCTTAATCCACCTGGTCGAGGGTCTTCACCGACCCTTCACCCTTTCTAGCATCATGTCACTCTCGAAGGAATAGCCCCTCTTAGCAACATGCCTGAAGTATATGTAAGGGTAAACCTCATCATCCTTGTCTCCAAAGAGCACTCTGGCTGCATCCTGTCAAAGATATATTTGTTTGTTCTTTTGGAAGTCCATGGGATGTTCAATGCTCTTCTCTAACACCGCAGCTCAGAGGTGTCAATTATTTTTCTATCATCCTTATCCATTGTCCAGCTCTCAGATGCAAAGCAAGTGATAGGAAAGACCATGGCCTGCATCAGATGCATCGTAGTCCTCAAACTAACATCATTACTCCTCAATAATTTGGAGAGGTCCCTAATTGCAGATTTTCTCAGTGCAATGTGTCTCCTTATTTCCTGACTGCTGATACTGAGAGTGTTAATTTTGGATCCAAGTAGGATGAAGTTGTTGACAGTTTCAGTCTCTTCTCTATCCATCATGATGGTACCTATCGGTCGAGTGGTAAGAATCTGTTTTCTTGACATCGAGATGCAATTTATACCAAAGGCTGTATTCCTTGATCATCTTCAACACGTGTTTCAAGTCCTCCTCACTTTCAGCAAGCAAGGTTGTATGACCTATATAACACAGGTTATTGACGTGTCTCCCTTCAATCCTGATGCCACACTCCTCTTCATGGAGTCCAGCCTCTTGAAAAATTTTCTCAGCATACTGATTAAATAGGTATGAAGAGAGAATATAACCCCATTGCATTCCCTTCCTAATTTTAAACCTCACAATGTACCCTGTGCTCTGTTCGCACAACATCCTCTTTTCCCAGGTATAGGTTTTGCATGAGCACAGTGTCAGCCACTGCTTGTTATGATCAACACAGTCAAACACCTTTGCATAGTCAATAAAGCACAAATAGATATTCCTCTGATACTCTCTACGTATGCAGGTTCAAATGGAGGCTGAAGAAAGATACAATAAGTTCACAGAAACCAAGATATGATCTTGAATCAATTCCATCTGAATTTCAAGATTATTTTGGGAAGAGGTTTGAGGCAATGAACACCAATCATCAAAGACCGGATGAGTTGTGGGATGATATCAAGGATATCATCCATGAAGAAATCAAAAGTCATTACAAAAACAGAGGTGAAAGAAAAAATAAAAATGGATGGATGAGAAGAGACTCTAAAAATTGCATGGGAATGTCGAGTAGCCAAAACAAAAGGAAAATATGCTGAAGTAAAAGAGCTGAACAAAAGATTTAAAAAGGCAGTTTGGGAGGGGACAAAGCAAAGTATTATAATAGAATGTTCAGAGAGCTGGAGTTGGAGAGTAAAAATGGAAGAGTTCACTGCATAGCTCAAACTGAAAAAACTGAAAAACAAATTTAATCCTTAAGTTGCAATATTGAAAGATAATATGGCAATAATATAGTGAAGGACCCAGAAAGCATCAAAAGAAGATGGGGGGAATGTACAGAAACAATGAACCAGAAAGAACTTATTGACACTGAAAAATTTCAGGAAGTACCATGTGAACACAAGGCAATGATAATGAAGGAGAAAGTGGAAGCTGTGTTGAAGGCATTAGCAAAAAAATAAGGCCCCAGGAATCAGTAGGATACCAGTTGACTTGTTTCAATTAGCGGATACAATCTTGGATGTTCTCACCAGTCTGTGCTGGAAAATTTGGTGAACAGCTGTTTGGCCAACAGATTGGAAGAGGTCCATATTTGTTCTCATTTTCAAGAAAAAGAAACAGAATGTGGAAATTATCAAACAATATCACTAATTTCACGTGCAAGCAAAATACTGCTGAAAATAATTAAAAAATGTCTACAATAGTACATAGATATGGAAATGCCAAAAATTAAAGCAGGATTTAGAAGAGGGTGTGGCACCAGGGATATTATTGCTGATGTCAGATGGAAGTACATTATGAGTATCTATAATAGGTCTGCTATTGTAAGAGACTGTCTTGTAAGATAATTATATCCATGAACTACCCTATACATTTAGTTAGCCCACATGCTATATTTTTTACAGAAAAAAAACCCTGTCTTTATTTTATTTTTAATTTTGTCTTTTATATATTATCATAATTTGAGAAAACATGGTAAAGTTTAATTGTAAGTAGAGCTTTGAGTGAAAGGGAGTCCCTGATTGGTGCAAAGGACTCTAACTAAAATATAGAGGCACTCCAAAAGACAGTTCTTAAAATCAATCATACCCTAGTCCTTAAAATCAATCAACCCTAGTTCTATTATGACACACCCTGGGTCACCGTGAGTTTGAATTGACCTGATAATGGCAACTGTGCTTGAAGTATCTTTGTGGTTGAAAAGAAGATTAATAAAATGTTAGCCTATAAGGCATAAAATACATACATAAGACTGTTATTCTCTAGGGGAAGGGATTAGCAGTATAAGATTAAAAAGCTCATTTACGTAGAGTCAGAATTGATTTGTAGTGGATTTTCAGAGGCTTTGAAATGTACAAGAGAATATTGGCTGGTAGCATGACTCCCTACCGTTGTTGTTATGTGCCATAGAGTCGATTATAACTCACAGTGATCCTAGGAAGAGCCAACTGACCCCTACCCCATCCTCTTCATCTCTGACATACTAGAGCGCATTGCTGAGGCCACCCATTTCTTTGGAAGTCGTCTTCTCTTTTGCTGACCCTCTATCTTTCCAAGCATGATGTCCTTTTGCAAGAAATAGCCTTACCTAGCTATATGTCCAAAGGATGAAAGACGAAGCTTCGTTATCGTTGCCTCCAAGGATCACTGTGGCTACACCTTTTCCAAGACATATCTGTTTGTTTTTTGGAAGTCCACGGGATAATCAGTACTCTTCTCCAGCACCACAACTTAAAGGCATCAATTCTTCTGTCATCCTTATTAATTGTCCAGGTCTCTGATGCATAACAGATGATTGAAGAGGCCATGGCTTGAATCAGGCACACCTTAGTCTCTAAACTGATAAATCACATGGGATTTGATTGCCCAACTTTCTCCTGTGGAGCAACTGGTATGTTCGAACTGCATACCTTTGTGTTGGCAGGCCAGTTCCTTACCACTAATCCACCAGAGCTCCCTTCTTCCATTGAGGTAGGAAGAAAAAAAGCCAGAGGTGATATAGAAAAGAATTTGTTTCCTATCCCCTTCTAACCTTATCTCAATTCCACATGTAGTAGTTTAAGGATAGAGTCATTGGTAATTTACATACTCATTAAATATCCATTTCCTAAACAGCATGCCTTCGGAAACTATGAACTTTGATAAATGTCGATAGTTTTAGAAAGGCTTCAGGACTTTAGTTCATAGGGTCGCTATGAGTCATGCTCAACTTGAAGGCAATCAACAACAACAATTCTAATTCTGTAAATTCTCTGTTTGTAAAGTCTCTTCCATTCAAAAGAAGCCATTATAAAAAGAAAACAAAGAAATCTAAAAAAACAATGCTATCATTCTGATAAAAAAAAAAAAGGGCATAGTTTATATTTGGTCCATACGTAATGGTTTTTTCATACACTTGTTTGACATTACTCTCTTGGATAGCTTGTTTTTGGAGACCTCTGGTGGTCAATAGTAATAGAAATGGTCTGTGTAAATCAGAAATAAGTAGTGAAAAGACAATCTTATTATTAAATGCATATGAATCAGCTTAAAATATAGGAAACTTTCTAGAGTTCTTATACATGTATAAATTTTAACAATTTTGCTTAAAACTCTCATATATGTATCTAATAGATAGTATTCAAAGTATATTTCTAAAGTTAAGAACTGTGTTATGTTTTTAACTTCTGGATCTTTTTTACATATGTAAATTTGGTTAAGACAAATCAAAAAAGAGGTATTGTGTTCTATGACAAGGAAAATTAAAATCTAAGTCTGTTTGGGGAAATTTTTATTTTGTCTTTAAAGGCCATTTTCTCCCTGTTAAGTTCACAAAGTGTGTATATGTAAATATGTAAATGTTGATGTAAAAAAGATGAATATATTTTGGAGAGCCTATATTGTAAATCTTCAAAAAATCAAAATCATTGCTGTGGAGCTGACCCCTCCGGCAGGTTTTCAGAGGCAATAAATTTCATGGGAGAAGATTTCCCTTATTTCGCCTCAGGAACAGATGGTGTATTCAAACCACCTGCCTTTGGCTTGACAGTGTAACTCTTTGCCCACTAAGCTACTAGAGCTTTCTATTTTAAAGCTCAGTGTCCTCTATATATGTAAAATTACATACAGTCTATATTTATTTTAATCAAAATGATTATTCTCTTTTGGAGGAAAATATTATGATTTTCATAGAAATGACATGAATACATATGGAACAACTAACACTCTGTCAATGTAGTTTTTAATCTACAGTAACAGTCATCTAAATAGAGTCAAAGTGTTGCTTATAGTTGAATTTTAGAAAGAATTTAAAGGATTGATGAAATCAATTTTCAAATCACAGCAATACTAGAGTGAAATTCAAGCCATTGACTTATATTATGATAAAAAAAAGAAGAACCTAAAACAAACTCATTGTCATCGAGTTGGAACCAACTAATAAGTGACCCTCCATTGAGTTTCCGAGGCTGTAACTCAGAAGGGGTGGAGATTGCCCATTTTTCTCCCCCAGCAGCCCTTTCTTCCCCCGACTGCTGGTGGATTCTAGCTGCCAGAGAGCCTTGGCTTTTGTGTTAGCAGCACAACTCCCAACAGACTAAGCCAGTATATTTTTATATTCCCTTATTTAGTGGAGAAATAGCAACTTGGTGGCCTAGTGGTAAGGAGTCGTTCTGTCAACCCAAAGGCATATAGTTCAAATCGACCAGCTATTCCACTGGAGAAAGAAGGACACTCTCCTCTTGTGTGATTTACTGCCTCTGAAAACCCACTGGAGAGTGAGCTATGGGTTTATTCTGCGTCAATGGTATATAATAACAATAATATTAAATATGTTCATGCTGTTCAGCCAGCAGCCAGCCAGGTGGCTCAGTGTTAAGG